GTTTGTAGTGATATCGGTGATGCGCACGCTGGCGAGGTCGCAGCTGCAGCACATGCCCGTTCTCACTCACTTGTTACAAAGACTGATTGACAATTTTTACACTCGCAACAAATATGAGGTTTAAGCGCCAAGGCCGCCTGTCCCGGTTCATGGGCAAGCAGGGACCGCAGTGGCTCCAGCGGACATGGGACTTTGTACAATGGGTAACAACACGGGGATGTAGAGTGTCAATCCCCGATTTACCTCTTGCACTGGAGTTCATTTAGCAGCAGCAATCAAGCAACTCTTCAACTCCCCATCTTCAACTGCAGCAGCTATGTAATCTATTGAACAATACTAAGACAACATTGGGGCAGAACACACTATAATTGGTCTCTGAGTCGAATCATGAGACTAATCATGTGGATCCTTCTTTTGCCTAGTCTGGCGTGATTGTCCACAGATACAATGCGCTCAGGTGTTGATGTGAATTTATTATGAGGGTAAAATTGGCTGTAAGTTTTTGATGAGCTCTTGATTTTTAGGATTATTTTTTAACAAAAATTTGATTAATACGATCGAATGTTCTCTGAGATCTGTAAAAAGAAAAACCAGCCCATTAGGAAAACAGAAGAACAAGAAAAAGTAAATCCAAAAGAATTCTCAACAAACAAACTAATTGTATCCAAAAAGGGACACAAAAAGTGAGAGAGAAGAGAGAAGAGAGACGTACAAGGGAAGTCAACGTCGAATAGAGTAAAGTTAAGGATAATGGGAAAACCGTCGAGATTTCTGACGGCATCTTGAATGAAAGCAGAACCGGGAGTTTCTTGTTTCGGATCATCCTCATTTTTCAAGGCGATCAAGTTGGTTAAAAGTTTGATCAAGCCAATCAAGATTTGATTAACTGATCGTTTCTTGTCTGATCCTTGTTGATCATCTTTAGAAGCTCTCAATTCACTTCGTTTTTCTGTGAATTCTTTCAAAATACCTGTATGATAAGAATTTTGGGGAATTAGATCGATATTATGTTGTACGTATTCTAAGCATGCAGAGTTGATCAGAAGAGAAGAGCGTACGGATAGATATTTCGACGACCGACAAGATCTCCGCATCGCTCATGATCAGCTCAACCGGCAAACCCGTAGCTGAGGAAGTAGCGATGGATTCTTCGATCCGTTTGACAAGGATTTCGATGACCAAGACAAAGCCTTGCCAAGCTTCATCGAGATGAGTAGAGAACTGCTTGAACTGCTCGAGAAGGAAGGAGGCAGAGGGTAACACCGTAGAGCTTTCGAGGACTTTCAAGATCGATAATTGGCCTGGTGAGAGTACTTGTGATGGCCTTTCATTATTCTCCAAGGCATTTTTTTTTGGGAATAGGTGATGATCATCAGCTCTTCCCTCTGCAATGTGTTTATTTCATATATATTTTTTTTTGCTCACGTGGCTTGAGAATGGTATAGCTTGGGCACCTGAGTGACCGGTTCAAGATCGACAATTTCTCGGACAAGCTTGACGCTTTTCTCCCAAAAAATTATAGAAACATCACATCCAATCGTGTTAGAACCAGGAGGCGGGAAATTTCATGAGGTAGGTGGCGACAGGTGAGTGTACATTACTTCAAATACTACCTCCGTCTCGTCGTCCAATAATCCATCCAATCGTTCGAGCATCATGGTCATCGCTTTCTGACCCACGTCAGAGTTGATAAGGGACTCACTAGTATTTTTTCAAACAAACATACCACACACAAGGTTTTTTTTTCGGGAAAATGAGATGATAGCAAACAAAGACTGTTTCAAAAACGAGAAAAGCAGCGTGAACAACTTACATTCTTTCGGGATTGTGATGAACACAGTTGAGGATCAAGACCCCAATGATCAACAACAATCTATTATTTTTGGTATGTAGAAGCCTCCTAAAATATCACGAGAGAAACAAGAAAGGTTTTACTTCATGTAGCGGTATAAACATTTAAAAAACAAAAGTCAAATTGTCGCACAGTAGAATTGATTGTCGATCCTCGCATAGAATTAGTAAAGGCCAAGTATGTGCAATTGATAGTGGGTTTAATGTATTCAAATTCGATAGAGCTTGGACACTGAATTGATTGAATGGTTTGACTTAAGAATGTCGGGAAAAAAAGCCCCGGGCAAGAAAAAGAATCAGGGCAGCGAATTTTTGAATTGAATTTATGGCTGGCGGCTGGTTGAGCTGTAAACTGACAGTTTGGGTGATCGAGTCTTGCGACTGCAGAGGTGACCCATAAGATCTTGATAATCTGGCTGATCGTTGGCCTAAAATTTGTTTCAGATGTTCCACAAATAAAGAAACTTTCAATTTTCCTAAAAATAAATTTATGAGGATTGGAAGATCGATATCATGATGCAACCGACCGGAGAGCATTTTGAAATTTTTCGAGTCCAGCGGCCAGGTCTCTAGTCAAGCGAGCCCAAGCGGTTGCAAAGCTAGTAAAGTGACTGATAGTGGTCTTCGAGTCAACCAGGTCCTGGTCCAGTCGTTCGGCATTATCCACGATATAATTCCAGCCAAGAAGGATCCATTCTGAGACGGCTGATGTACCCGATTGGTCCCTGTCATGTTCAACAAATTCAATCGAAGATTTAGGTTGTGTGCTCTGCTTTGGCTCTGGTACATATATGCACATTCAACCGCTTACCTCCAAGATGGCTCGTCCTTCAATCCAGCTATGAGTCCTTCGATGTTTTCAATCTCGATTCGACCGAAGTCGGTTTGATTGAACAGCTCTGGTTGGAACATCTGTGAAGATGTCTCTGATTTGTTGATTCAATATCTGAAGTGCTTCCTGTCAAGTGTCCACCCCAACATCGTGAACAATAAATCATAATCAGCTTCTTGCAAGTTTTCTCATTCACTTATGTTTTACAGTTTGAGTATCATTACTTACTTGGCCACTCTTCTCAATAATTTCGACACTGGTCTTGGCAAAAACGATGTTGAGCCGCAAGAGGGTGCGGCACTGCTGCGGCCGCGCGCTCAATTCTAGTACCAATTACACTCCGCGCAAACTTAAACCAAGTCCCTCGAGACGTCGGTTTTGAACTCGCGAAGCGAGCCTCCGTCCAGAGGGAATAAAAAAGAAGATATACATACACCCAGGTAGCAAGGATGCTTTTTGCCTTCATTTTTTTTTCTCTTGTCTCTACTACTTACATATTTTTTTGACAAATGTACATAAGATTTAGAAAAAAAAAGAAAAAAAATCTTGCAGTGTGAACAACCTTGCAAATGTAGTTGCTGGGCCAACCTGCCTTGTAAAGAGACTTTTGTGAAACCCAAGGTCTCATATTTTGAGAAATTGAATTTGGGGATGAAGGAGTTGGATAGAATAACTCAGTTTATGTAGTTCAAACAAGCAAAAGCCACTTTATGGTCTTGCAAGCCAGTCTGGGCACAGGCCCAAGTTGGGCAAAAAAGAGGCCAAGCGTGCTTGGCCAATCCCAAACCGCTTGTGGCACCCTCTAAGCCCAGCTTGGCCTATACCCAAACCCCGCTTGGCACATGTCAATGTTGGTGGGGGTTGGAGAAAAGCCTCGCTTGGCCGACATCAAGTAGAGATCGTTCGTCCGTACTTTTTGCAGGTACCTGGTACCTCCTGGGGGGTACCCCTCGCACCCGCCCCGCACCTGCCAGGAGGTGCCAGGTGCGGTACTTGGTACCTATTTTTGTGAAAAATTGAACAGGTACCTAGGTACCTCTACAGGTACCCCCTCACTTCCCTACCAAAAATCAAAATGATGGTGGCCTTCTACTCCAAGAACTCCAAGATCCAAGAAGGTACCTTGGCTGCATGGAAACAGGGACTCAAGGATAACAAGAAGTCTAACAAAAAATCAAAAAGGAAGGTGATGGTTTTGGATGACAATGAAGATTCTTCCAATTAGTTATAATTTGTAGATATTTTCAACTTTTCAATAAATTATTAAATATGAACAAATGAAAAAAGTGATCTGGGACTGATGTTTTACAATAAATATGAAAAAAATAGAAAAGTAAGATTCTTCCAATTAGATGTAGATATATTACAACAGATATTAAAAAATGCCAAAAAAGTGACTTGTGAGTGATATTTTACAATAAATATGAATAATAATAATAATAATAAAGTGACTTGGGACTCTGGGAGTGAAACTAGGTGAAAAAGAGAGGGGGGGTACCTGAGGTACCTGCAACGGGTACCTTGGGTACCCCCCGGGAGGTGTCTGGTGCGGTACATGGTATCTATTTTCTTGAAAAAATGAACAGGTACCTAGGTATAAACAGGTACCCAGGTCCGAACGAACGATCTCTAACATCAAGCGAGGGTGCCACACCCGCTAAAAGCCAATGCACCCCTTAACTCAAGGGGTGCATAGTTGTGACCCATCAACTCAATTAGCACCTGCGCACAACTCCACAGCCCAGTACCATATCCTCCTCAGCTTGAAGCACCAAGCAACGGTACTGACGGAGAGGACACCAGCGGGGCTAGAAGTGCGCCTTGGGAGCTGGCCCGGGATCGTAAGTCTCTCTCCTTGACCCTGAGGCGGATCTCTCTTGGGATGGGCCATGATAAATAGAAGAGACAAGTCGATAAAAGAAGGAGGGGTGGATCCCGAATTGATTCAAGCATGAACTTGGACAGCAGCAGGGGCCCGAGGAATGAGAAGAGCAGCCAATCCAGGATTCTAGGTGATCCTATTGGCCCTGAGGTTGAAATCGGCCAAGCGGGGCTTGGCTATGTGTCAAGTCCCTCCCCCCGCACAACCTGCATGATCAAGCCTTCTGGGCACAAACCAAACCCCCGGTGGCACTCGGCCAAGCAGGACTTTGGTTTGTGCCCAGACGCGCTTGCAAGACCATATATCAAATAAAGTTTTGAAGGCAAGGAATTATAACCTTTTCAAAATCCCTCCCACCTGAATTTGAATTCTTGATACACCAATTTGGGACAGTAGGGTGCAATTCCTTCCTAAAAAAGTGTTGCTTATTGAGGTCCAATTCAACAGCTGGGGTGTTGGAATTCTGATGTTGTTTTGTCTCTCATTTGAGGGCTCTTTAACCTTGTTCTTTCCTCCAGACTTTGCATCTTGAGCTTGTTTCTTCCAGTCAATTTCTTCTCCCGCTCTGCAAAAAATTTTCCCAGTTTCATCAAGGAGGGAATTTGTTAAGTTCACACTCCAGGGGAAGTCCAATACCAGACTCCTGTCACCTACCAGACAGAAAGGAGAATTTGTCAATGTAAATCACCTCCTGAGCATGAAGTCAAGTTCCCAATTGTTCAATCTAAGATACTTTGATCCTCAACCTACACCAATTTCAAAAACCACCACATTTTCCTCTTTGAGGAGCTGGGATGGCCTGCAACACCTCAACAAAAAGATACCTCCTTGAAAATCTAGTATTCCCTTGACTAGTTTGATGAGGAATATTTGTACAGCCTGAGCTGTTACAGAATTTCCCATCTTGGTGAGGATGCATTTGCATCACTGGGACAGTGTGTTTTATATCATTTTATTAAGAATGGTGTAATCTTGGTGAGCTGGTATGGCCACTACTACATAGTTTGACAAGAATGTATCATCTTCATTGATGTGGTACAGACAGTTTGATATTGGGAAAAAAAGAGAGATCCTCACCAAATTAGGTAAATCTTATACCATATCCAACACTGGAGGACTTCCTGTTGATTTCTGTAGACCCTACAGAATCAGATCCAGCCCCACAGAACTCAGATTTCACAGGAAAATCTGATTCAAGGGCCTACAAATCTGGTTTTGTAGGGGCAACAGAAATAAGGGGAAGGTGCGTTGATAAACACACTCCTCCCCCCTCCCCGCCCCTCCAAAAGGGGAGTGCAATTCCACCTGCCCGTCTCTGAGGGGCAAGTTTAATTGCACGCCCCTCGGAAGCCTGATTTTGCAAGGAATCATGTTTCTGAGTTGTGGAAAAGTAAGAAAAATTGCATAAGTAGGAAATCTAGGTCAAAAATTGCGGTGAAACTAATCTGGTTGATATAATTTATAAACAATTTGAACATGTCACATCATTTGTAAAGCTTTAACTGATGGCACTAGTGCCTAGTTGAACCAAGAAACACATATTTTGATTTATTATCCTGAGCCTTATTTTTTGTAAATATTCTTATTTGGTGAAAACAATTTCATTTTACCAACCATAAAATCATAAGCCCTATTTATCATTTCATCCAGATCTTCATTTCCATTTTCCCTCCTGAAATGCTCAATTTTGGTGGCAATATCCTTGTGTGAAAGTATAATTATGGTATTTTCTTCAACAGGATCTACAGATTGAGGCAATATATACTTTCTGGTTAGAATATCCAGGTATAATCTAGAAAAGTGTTCCTTAATCCTGGGTTCAAGCCATTCAAGAAGGTATTCTTGAAAAATCCATCCATGAAAAAACAATCCTTCAGATCAGTTATTGTATAACAATAATTCATTTGTGAAACTGTTGCCTACCTTTTAATTGGTTTTCCAAATCTGTTATTCTTTCATTTTCATACATGCCAGCTCGTTGGGAGGTGTTCCTCCCAGCAAGCTGGTTTTCAAACCAGCTTGTCAGAAGGGGTTCCTTCTGACAAGCTGGATTATGTACCAGCTCATCAGAAGGAATCCCTTCCGACGAGCTGGATTATGTACCAGCTCATTGGAAGGAACCTTTTTATACTAGCTTGTTGGAAGGAATCCCTTCCGACAAGCTGGTACATAATCCAGCTCATTGGAAGGGATTCCTTCCAAAGAGCTGGTACATAATCCAGCTTGTTGGGAGGGGTTGGCATGTACATAGAAGCTTGCTGGGAGGGGTTCCTCCCGGTGGTGTAACCTTAGCCTCTCTAGGCCAAGGGGGTTTGAAAAAAAAATCAATGGGGCCGTCCCATAGGACCCATGCCTGGGTCCTATGGGACAGCCCAGGTCCTAAACACATATAAATATGTGTTTAGGACCGCATATATTGGGCATGCAGGCAGGCACGCCAACCTGCAGGCAAGAGTGGCTTGCCTCCCTGCACACCATTCTGCAATGGTGTGCAGGCACGCACGCCAATCTGGGCCTGGCGTGCGCAATGGGGGTTGGCTTGCACTTATCAACCCCCCTATTATGCACCCCTGGCCAAGTCTCATGACTTCAAGTCTGTGTTTTGGAGCTCTGTAATTCAAAACAAGCAGCCACTGTACAACCAGGCCAAGAGAACGGGGTTAATGTTTTTGAGATGTATTTGATCTTCTTTCAACTGAGCAGGTCCACCGATTTCATCAGTTTCAGCTGCCTCATTGCTCTTGTCATGATGAGTTTGATTGGATGCACGACTTTAAAAGGATGCCCTTGAGATCCTGTCATTGGTTTCTTTATCCAATTCCTCTGTCAAATCAATGAGAATTCGCCGATCAAAATTCTCTGGCATATTTCCTTGATTCTGATTGTAATACTTTCCAGTGCCATCTGATGAAGGAGGTAGCATTGGTATTTGTACATGAGAAGATGGGAGTAGGTCTTTATAAGTCATAGATTCCTTGGCAATAGCTGAGAAAGGTTGCCTTCCAGGCTCCAGCACGCAGATCACCAATTTTGGGCAACCCTTGTTCTGCATGACCGGCAGTGCATGCGCTTCAGCTGAAGATACCCACCTGTACCTTGTGGAGCAATAATCATGAGTTACTGACTCGGGATATCTGAATTATCTGGACAACGCTGCTGGAAGAATTCGACATCTCTTGAGCTCTGAGTTGGTTTCAATCGCCTGTCCCAATGTGAATGGGGGCCGTAGCCTTTGCTGATGTACGGAAGTTGGTCCCAAAACATGGGGAAGGGCCTCTTGCTGGACCCTCTTTTCCCAAGAACCTTATATTGAGATGACATTGGTCCATGGCTATCCTCATCATGGTATTAAACAGGGTTGGAATTCAATGATACTTTGGGGGGATGTTTGGGCACAACTATTGAACTGTTTAGTTCTGTCTAGTTCTTTCTCTATTTTATATCACACTTTATTCATTTCACACCTTGCACCGCAGTTATCTGAAACCTAATTGATCATCATAAGAAGCATTCTCTTCACTTTGTATCGGTCTTTTTCTTAATCAATCAATAATCAATTGTTTCATCAAACCTCTTTGCTTTGTCACTAACCTCAATCTATCATATGTTTGTTTCTATTTATCATTTTCACTTTCACTCTACATAGCTTAACCCTGTGATCTTTTCAGGTTTGTGTTCTTCAGGTCATCATTAGTCTTATCGTGTAGATAAACAAATATCACCTTCATCCAAAAGGTTTGTGTTCTTCAGGTCATCATTAGTCTTATCGTGTAGATAAACTAATATCACCTTCATCCAAAAGCTTGTGGTTCATTACAACTCACCAAGGAAATCAATTTCTTATGGTTCTGCATCTGACTCTGACTCCACGCTTCACGGGCGATGTATTTGAAGCACGTTCCCAACCAGGGAGACACAAGGTCAAGTCAGTTGATGGTAAATTTGCTCCTTCGTGAGATCCATTTGAATTTTCCACGAGTCAGTGAGCTACTTAAGCAGAAGCCGCAAGTGTTGTTGTTATTACCCAAATTATCAATAGTTCCAAACCCTGCTTCATGCGTAGCTTCCAAAGATTGAGTCGGCGGCCCCAAGCCTGCCTAGGCAGAAGACTTGGCCTACAGACCAGATCATAAAAACTCACCGAGACGTTTTCTTCATGTTTGGAAACTTGTGGAGAAGTTACCTCTGGTGGTACTCGTGAAGCAGTAAACAAGCCCTGAACTGAAGCGAGCATCGAGAATTGCTCACCTCTGCCGGATATGTGTATCACCCGTGCTCAGGTGGTCTTAAAGTTTTTACCGGCAAGCTCTTCTTGACTCTTCCATCCCACTACATCACCAGACGTCCCAGCTCAGATGGAAACCTGTTTTTTTTGTGCCAGACTTGTCTGAAACTACTAACCCGGCGCCCCTTTGGCAGTTTGAGTTTGGCACACATATTGTTTTCTCAACCGTTCCATTTTTTTATCACTAAACAATCACAGTACCCCTTCAAAGGGAAGTAACTGAACGCTTTATTTTTCCACGCCGAGTATCTTTGCAACCTGTTCTCCAGCTCACGCGGTGTTCACCCAATTCTGGGATACAAGTCTCATCAACTTCGCTTCTCCACAAGTTTTCCAGCATGAAAAGACTACTTCGCTGTGTTCTGATACTTTGGCCGCAGATCCGGTTAGTAAGACCGGGGCAGTCGCGTCAAACACTTGAAGCACCCCGAGTGGAGATCAACTTCTGGGCCGATCATGGGTTGAGTGATGTTATCAGTACTTGGAATTTCTGTTCAAGCAACTGACTGGCTCGTTTCAACAAGTGCATGCAGATTACGCGATGAACCAAATTTACAATCAACCGAGGTAAATCTGGGTCATACTGGTTGGGAACTTGCTTCGAATTCATTGGAATCAAAACCAAGTGGAGAACCACGAGAAATCGATTTTATTGGCGAGTCTCTTTTGCTACAACCCAGTGTAGAGCACATCTAGTGTCAAGCCCTGCTCAATCAACTGGGGCACAGGTACAGCTGCTAACGAATCTTATGCCGGTACATAGGTTCTTGGGGTCAAGGCAACTCCGAGCACAATGGTCCAAACAAGAGGCCCCTCTCCCTGCATCAGAACCAACTTTCGGAAATGAATGAGGAAAATAATTATCATTCGCATCCAGAAAAACGATTGAAAGTTCAGCTAGTGAGCAATCCGCGAACTGCGAATTTGTTACAGCAATTCCAACTGAGCGTGACACCGGGTCAGTAAACATCGTCTTTCTGAAAGGAGAAATTGGGTAGACTCAGCTAAAATAATTATGCTACTGGTCACCTAGATCGTGTGTCGCGGACTGTAGACTTACTCTCAAGCTCGCACTTTCCAGCTATTTCCAGGGGTTCCATCGTGGAAAAATATCCATTTCCACATTCTCGCGTGGAAGAACTGATACTACCTGGTTCATCAGGCGACGCTCGCAAGTCAATCGAAGCAGCCGAAGGAGTAGTCCCACCTCTCTCTCATCACAAAAGTCTTGTCGATTTAAACGAGGATCCGGATAGAGAAATTGATACTGGAAGTTCCAGGAATTTCAAAGACAGTCATCCAGGGAAGGACGATCATCCTGCAATAATCTCCATCCAACAACAAAATGCTGAATCAAAAAAAGATCATGTGTACTTTCGACAAATCGATCCCAAGCTCTCGGCCTGGCTGTACAGCGTCAAGCTTGGACTCACTGAGTCGCTATACAAGGAAATAACAGAGAAGAACGAAAAAGATATCTCAAGTTTCATTAAAACTCTAGCTTTGAAGTTGAATCCACCAGTGAATGAAAATCGGAGAGCAAAGATTTTTATTGAGGAATTGACGAGTCACAAATCAAGCAATAATCTGAAAGAATTCGCCCACCTTCTCTGGTGTATCAACTCAGCATTCATCATGAGATTTGAACCAACAGAGAATCATTATTTTGAAGAACAACTTTCAGTTCATGGCTGGATTCTAAATCTTTTTGAGGAGACTAGACCATCTCAAAGTGCCTCGATGGAAAATCAAAATACCGAAGCAAGCCTTACAAACCTCCTGAGGAAAGCCCTTGCTTCAAGGTATTCATTCCCAAGCTACTTGATCTATAAAAATCTTGATCTTGTCCTACCCACTGGTGTAGTTTGTGAAAGTCAGATACGGATGGCAGAAGCTGTGATAAATGTCCTGGCATCTTATTACAAGTCAAAAAATTCGATCAAGTGGACATCCCTGTTCAACCGAGACGAGGATTTTTTGAATGCTCTCAAAAGAAGCAGAAGTTGGAATCCGCGTCCTTCTCAATATGCGCTAAATTGGATAGACACAGAAGGAAAAGGAATAGCTACTTTAATCCCATGGGAGAATGATAATCTCGGCGGGTCGATGTTGGCCAGGTATAAGTTCCTTGACCCACGAGGCGATTTCCAACTCAAAAATAGGGTTCAAGAAATAGAAGGATCACTTGAACCTCACAAAACCTTGATGACTAATTTCAAACCTGTAGGGAAATGGATGTCCCAAGAAAAACCTGAGAAGTCGTGGGCACTGATCTTGGCGATTGGAAATTTCTACCATAACTTCATTGAAGAAAAATTTGGTCCCCCAGATTGTGGAGATATGATCAAAGAACTGGAGGCTTGGAGGTTCAAAAACAAGGACAACAACCTCAATCTCGAGAATTCTCATGATGAATCGTTGCAAAAAAAATTCCGCTCAAATGTGCAAAATTTATTTGAATTAATATGGAAAATCAATTCAAGGTTTCTTGAGAATCTTGGTTGTGAAATTAATGAAGAAACCTTTTTGGATGAACAGCATGAACTGCAAATCGAATTTTTCCGATTGCTGACTTTATCGGTAGACCCTGAATCAAGCAAACTTTATTCACCATCCCCCAAGATAGAAAACGGGGTTGAAATACAGCAAGAGCTCATCAAAGCCCTGGATTTTGAGGGCGAAAGAATTGTTTACAAGATTGAGAGGCGTGCACATGATGTATCAGAAAAGCAAATTGTGATTACCAAAGCAGCAGTGGAAGTGATTTCAATATATTACTGGAAGAAGAATCCATACAAATGGATGCAGATTTTTCAAGATGAAGAAACATTAGTATTGAACTTGTCACAGGTTGCAACAAGAATGCTTAAGAAGTTTTACTACACACAATTCAAAGATAAGATGTTTTCAAAAATTAGACATCTAGAACTTCTCCCCTGGAAAAATGATTTCATTTATTTAGACAACCAAATTCACACCATTAAAAGAGAATTTCAATATCAACCGTCTCAAAACATATTTAACAAATTAAAATCCATTGATTTGTAGTAATCTCAAGCTTGAAGTATTTTTGTATACATTCAATCCTCACAAACTTTTGATAATTTTGTTCATACTTGAACGTCATTTTTTCACATTCTGTTCCAATTCCATTAATTTGTTCTCAAGTTCATTTCCACTTCTTGCCTGAGGAAAAAACATCAAAATTGTGTGCTCAGTTTGATTGCATTGTCTATAGTTGAGCCCAGTGGTGGGCCGCTACGCTACACTACGCTACACTACGCTACGGGCCCATGTAGTGTTAGTGTAGCGTTGCGTTGATAATCGCACTCCCCTCCCCTCCCCGCCCGCCCACGCCCACGCCCCTCCAAAAGGGGCGTGCGATCACACCCGCCCGTCTCTGAGGGGCGGGTTTGATCACACACCCCTCGGAATGCTGATTTCCCAAGGAAACAGGCTTCCGAGGGGCGGGCAGAAGAACCCGCCCCTCAGAGACGGGTGGGAGGAATTGCCCGCCAATCAAGAACCAAGATATTCTTGGTTCTTGACTGGTGGGCAAGTCCTCCCGCAATTATGTCAGCAAAACATCCTAGGATGTTTTGCTGACATAATTGGGCAAGTATGTATAATGGAAAAGAGAGTGCCTCGATGGGCGGAGTTAGGATGTTGCTTCACTTGTCTTTTCGAAGGTGGACAGCACTATGTAGGGCTGATTGACAATGGCATTCAAGCGACTTGATCCAGACATGGATCGATCAATTTCGAGTTTGAAGAGGGATTGGAATTGCAATCTGAGACCCAAATCACGCTGCCCTGAAGGATTCAGAGGCCAGGCAGCAGGGCCGCCGGCAGTGAAGCACGGTCTGAAGCCTGTGAGGGCCTTCGGGGTCCGCCATCTGGCATCAACGATGAGATTATTTTTCGATCCTTCCTCAAGACTTAGCTCTCACTCTGACTGTAATCTCTCAGCCGATCAGCTGAGTCGTGGTGTGGCTCATGAAGAAGAGCTCAGCTCTCCCATGGTCCTAATTACTGGTTAATTGTCACAGTTGAATGAAGACCTGGTGCAATGGCAGGACGACAGCTGGACATGCCAAGAATCAGTTTGAAGGCCGCTGGGGGTCCATCTTGAGCGACTTGATGCATTGTATTCTGGCCGAGCCACCTCCACCAACAGAACGGCAAACACTGAAAGATAAATCAGGCCACTAGCTGACCAGTCGGCCGCACATTGTCCATCCTTGTTGTAATATTACTCTATTACTTCACTGCAAGATCGAACAAAAAAAAACTTAACGTCCTGCGATCCTGAGAAGAACTGAGAATATCTCGGTTCTTGATTGGCGGGCAAGTCCTCCCGCCCGTCTCTGAGGGGCGGGTTCTTCTGCCCGCCCCTCGGAAGCCTTTTTCCTTGGGAAATCAGCATTCTGAGGGGCGTGCGATCAAACCCGCCCCTCAGAGACGGGCGGGTGTGATTGCACGCCCCTTTTGGAGGGGCGTGGGCGTGGGCGTGCGGGGAGGGGGGAGGGGGGAGGAGTGTGATTATCATTGCCCAGTGTAGCGGCACCAATTTTTTTTGTGTAGTGTTAGCGCTCTGCTACTGCCGCTGCACTCAGCTAATTTGTAATGGCGCTAACACTAGCCATTTTTTGGTGTAGTGTTAGTGTGCCTCTGGCGCCGCTACACTACAGTGTTTTTAGCGGCAAAAAAGGCCTAAAAATTGCTGTAACGCAGCATAGTGGGCGGTTTTTTGCTCCCTGTGCGCGTAGCGTTAGGACAGATGGGGGGGGATTGCGCTAAAGGTTAGCACAATTTTTTGCCCATGCGCGTAGCATTAGCGCAGAAATTGAAAAAAAGCGCTAACGCTACGCTAAATTGTAGCAATTTTTTGCTACACTACGCTACGCTAATGCTATGGTGAGTGTAGCTGGCCCACCGTTGGAACTTGAGCCCAGGGTTTGCTGGGCTCGAAAAGATACTTGAAAATATTTTTTGACAGGCAGATAGTAGAATTGCTGTAAGGATTGAATTTCCCTCCACTAAACTTGAGTGAATCTTGATCAATGGGTTGGGTGCAAGGTGTGAAGATTTCCAGTAACAAACAAAGGGTGCTTATATTTCAAATCCAGACAGTTGAGAGAGGAATACTTATAATAAGTACAAGCTGTTTGATCACTAGAAAGGAGAAAGAATAGAGAGTGAAACTGAAAAGGAGAAGTACTTGACCAGACAGTGTACTGTAGTGTGCCAATTGTGTTTCAAGTATCAAATTACATAAATTCACAGTTCATTATTCAGAAGGGGATGTATTCTTAGGCTTATTATGGCATAATCAGATTCTTCAGATCATTTAACCCATAGTTGCTCACTGAAATCACTAGGCAAGCTCCACGCACTCAAAAGTTATTTGGGATTTATTTTTTATTTGCATACAAAATGTTTATAACATAATTTTAACCATAATTTGGCCTTATTTTGCTTAAATATTCAATATTAATGGCATAGTGTAACCACAAGTTGGCCACAACCTTTTGTAGGCATATTCAATATTTTGGTATAGCAGCAAACCACAACCTGGCCATTTTTTACATGCATATTGATTATTTGTTAGGGCTAGAAGCACAAGTCAGCTGGGCTTTGAAATATACTATTTAAGGAGTACTTTTTCCCCCTCATTCCAAATTTGGATCATCACATCACATCAGATCATCATCTCATCTGATCAGCAACCAGACAGAGAAGGGTAATATTTCCATAAATCAACCAATGTGATACTAATCAAGTTCCCCCTTGAGATCCTTCAGACCTTGAAAAGAATATAAAAAGTGAAAGTAGCAAGCATCACAACTTGTGATCTCAACAAGAGAAAGTGATCTTAAACCATTGTGCTACAAACCTACATTTGATGAGTTTCATACAACACATTCAAACCTCATCCCTTGAAGACATTCAACATAATCATCATCAGCATTCTACTCATGCTTTCCATCATTCTTGCACATTCCTCAGCAGGCACCACTTCAAACAAACATCTCAGCCATATGCTTTGGAGAAAATCACAAAAATACTTCTCACCCATGTGTAGTTTGAAGCCATCCTCTCAGATACCCTCAGCAATGCACCTTTGCTCTCATCACACTATGCACTCATCACATAGGCTCTTGAAGAAGTACATTCAAACTTTTTCACTTTCTGAATCCACTTCTACCTGATCTCCTTTGAAACCCAGCTAGAGCATGGCATCTTCAAATCATTGTCTCAGGCCTTAATCATCCCTAGGCCCTTTGACATGGACCATCAGCTTTGACATCATGAGGATCTTTGACCCTGAACCTCTTCAGATTTGATCCAAACCCTTTCAGCTTTGACTGCCTACTCAGTGTTTCCATTTAAACACTCGGAAATCTTCCTGCATCTTGTGTTGTTCCTTTCATTCTCTTTTCCTCTCAGTTCATTATCTCTCTCTCTTTTCAAGTCTCACATTTCATTTCATTATTTTGCTCTTTTTGACATCTTATTATGACTATGTTATCAGTGCCAGTACTTTATCATAAATACTCTCTTGCACTTGCCCATGCTTTCTTCCCTCAGCAAAATAAGATTATGGTTTTTGAGAATTTATCAATTCCCTTTCCTTCTGAGCCTTTTCCTGCAGTGAAACCCTTACAGTCTTCATACTTAAGTTTTCTCATCCAAAATTCCTCTCTATTTGAAGCAGTTTGTTCAGCTGTTAGTCATTTCTTCAAACTTCACTCAACTCATTTCCTTTCCTTAGTGCCCACCCTATTCCTGTATGAGCTGCCGCGTGACAATGAGGAGGGGAAAAACACTTTCAATAGTCACACTTGCCATCAGTATCATCTCAGAAATTCACATCCAATATCATTACATATCAATCATTCCAAAACATCAAACATATAAAATATCACTTACTCATAAGGCATATTATCCACTATCTGAATCAAGCCTGTTGAAAACCCACAGCAAACTCTTCCACATAAGATTGCACTCAAATATTCTGCTGAAGCCACATTGATCTAGGTTTGGTAAAAGACTGCTACACATAGTTTTCTCTCTCATCAGTTTTTCCACAATAACAAATAAAATTTGCTGTGTTAACTCTTGTGTAGTACAATAGAGGGACATGTCTTTCAAACCAGCCATAACAGTTGTAGTAGTTTATTACATACTTGAAATATTACATCTGCTATTTCTACCTCACAGGACTGCCACCATTCCAAAAGGAGTTCTCACAACAGTTGAGAGAGAGGCTCTTCCATCTAGGTAGGAGCAGAAGGGACTAGACTAAGTACACGCAGCGGTGGGCCGCTACGCTACGCTACGCTTTTGGCCCAAAAAGCGTAGCGTAGCGGCGCTTTTTTTCATCCAAAAACCGTAGTGTTGGCAGTTTTTTAGCGGTTTTTTGCTATGCTACGCTGCGCTACAGCGCTTTTAGTGGAAAAAGCGGCCAAAAACCGCTAAAAACCACTGTAGCGCAGCGTAGTGGGCCCTTTTTTGCGGCCCACACACGTAGCGTTAGTGGTGTCATGGCGGAATTCTGCTACGCTACGCTAATCGCTAACAGCAATTCCACTGCGTTACGCTACACTAACCGCTACGGTTAGTGTAGCGGCCCACCGTTGGTACACGCCAGGATTAACTTATGTAATCACACATGACACATCAATGCAAAACCCAACAGAGGAGGGGGTTTTAAAATTGCTCACTAAAAATAGAAACTACAGATCACATTGCACTTACATTCTTGAAATATCATTACACATATTACCAGCGGTGGGCCGCTACGCTTTTGGCCCAAAAAGTGTAGCGTAGCGGCGCTTTTTTTCATCCAAAAACCGTAGTGTTAGCGGTTTTTTAGCGGTTTTTTGTCACGCTACGCTGCGCTACAGCGCTTTTAGCGGAAAAAGCGGCCAAAAACTGCTAAAAACCACTGTAGCGCAGCGTAGTGGGCCCTTTTTTGCGGCCCACACAAGTAGCGTTAGCGGTGTCATGGCGGAATTCTGCCGATTCCGCTGTGTTACACTACACTAACTGCTAGGGTTAGTGTAGCGGCCCACCGTTGATATTACATTCTTGAAATATCATTACACAGATATTTCTTTGGAAGGTTATTTGTCTGAAATCTACAAAGAAATGCTTAGTGTGGAGAACATACCTTTCATGTTGCCACCTTGAATTTGTATCACCTGGAAAGATCAGTTTATTCTGCTTCACTTCTGGATTTCTGCTCCAAACTCACTGAAATTGAATGACTGAGATCAAAATAATTCATCTGGATGTAAAAGGAGAAAACCATGGATGACAGCTGGATAGACGCAAGGAAGTGAAGAGGAAAACCCCAATTAGTGTTGGGGAGGAAAACAGGCAAACAGGGAAGCATCAGGAAGTTTCCATTGGTTGGAACTGGACCAGCAATCCTTGGGGCTGCCTGGGATTATCCAAAAAGGATATTTGAGGAGGAAATCAAAGAAATTTAGATGGATTCCACTAGTTTTTCTATACAGCTCCTATTCATGTGAAGCCAGAGAGCAAATCATGAATGCAGTCATGTCAGGCGTAGTCAGTCTTCTCACTCAGCTTACTGAAACCAACTCTCACATATTGAGGCCACCTTTTGAATCCCTCCTTTGTGCTCTATGCTACATTTTGAGCTATCTCCGCCACAGTAATTTCGGGCACTCGTTATGATATCATGTTTGTTTGTTTTCATGAGGGTAAGGGTTTATTTCTTTATATGTAGATGGAGGTTCCAGTACACATTCAACACACATACCAGGTTGGGAAGTCCAACCAGTGTCTTCAGTTTCAGATACGGAAGATGAGACACGATTTCAGAGCCAACACTGATGTCAATAACCACTGGGGCGATGGGTGTCGGTCCAGGGCTTCCGTAGGCTTGGGCCAACTCGATCTAGGCATCAAGGTCAAACACGTTATGTGTTTTGAAATCGACATGGCCCGACGCGTCCCATGCTGTCCCATTTGTTCCGTATTTCATTGGGAAGACTCTTTTCCGTGCGGCAGAGCTCCAGGCGTGACTCGCGACTTTTTTTGTTGAAGTCGTGCCCCCTTCAAACTGCTAGCATTTGAGTTCCGCCACCTCAGCTACTTCACGAGTACATATCCAAGGATGAAAAACTTACTCCGATGGGTTCTCATACTTTGGCCAGAAGCCCAAGTCCGCATGGTGAGACTGGGAGTGTCTTCGAGTGACTCACTAAAAGCAGCACAAGCGGAGATCAACTTTTGGACTGATCACGGGTTGAGTAATGAATCTAACGTATTTCAGGTCTCTGCGCAAACAACTGACTTGCTTTAACAAGTGCGTAAATGTAGATCACGCGAAAGATCCCATTTACCATCGACTGGCCTACCTTTGAGTCCTCCTGGTGAACATGCTTTAAAAGAACCACAAGAAACCGATTTTCTTGGTGAGTGCTCTGTCTGGACCTCGTATGAAGTACCCCTGATGATCAAGCCCGATTCATTCACGTGGGAGTCTGGGACGGTTGGCTGCTGAACAATTGTATATCGATAGGTTCGTGGGGGAAAAGCAGCCTCGAACAAGATCGTCCGAAACAAGGGCCTCCATCCTGGGGCCAAATTTCGGAAATTGATGAAGATGACAATCGATATTCGCATCGAGATAAACGGTTCAAAGTTCAACCAACAGAGGATCTACGAACTTTGGATGTGTTCCAGAATTTCCAACCAGGTAACCATTCTGAGTTATCATTCACGCGTATTTTGTGTTATGATCAAGGCACAGTTCTACATAAGTGGACAAAGTCAGCTGAATTAATTCTTAAACCACCTGTTGTCACATACAGATCGCATCCCACCGCCTCCCGGTCAACATGCTTCAAAACAACTACAAGAAATCGATTTTCTTGGTGAGTGCTCTATCCGCACCTCACATGAAGTATCCCTGATGGTCAAGCCCGATTCATTCACGTGGGAGTCTGGGACGGACGGCTGCTGACCAATTGTATATCGATAGGTTCGTGGGGGGAGAGCAGCTTCGAACAAGATGGTCCGAAACAAGGGCCTCCATACTGGGGCCAAATTTCGGAAATTGATGAAGATGACAATCGACATTCGCATCGAGATAAACGGTTGAAAGTTCAACCAACAGAGGATCTGCGAACTTTGGATTTGTTCCAGAATTTCCAACCAGGTATGATCACCATTCTGAGTTATCATTCACGCGTATGTTATGATCAAGGTAGTGGACAGAGTCAGCTGAATTAATTCTTAAACCAACTGTTGTCCCATACAGATCGCATCCCACCGGGGACCACTTTCAGTTCAAGTTACCATTCTCCAGATATTCCGAGCTTAGAAATACCGATGCTACATCCTTCATCAGACAGCGCTCGCACGTCAATCGAAAGGGCCGGAGGAATGGCTCCACAGATTTTTCATCAAGGAAATCCTATTGATTTAACTGAAGCATGGCGTGGAGACATCGAGGCTGAAAGTTCCAAAAAGTCAAAAGAAAGTCTTCGTGAGGAAAGCTATCCGGTTGAAGCAAGTGCAATCCAGCAAGAAAACATACATTTGAAAAAAGATGCGATTTATATTCGAGAGATCCAGCCCACTATCTCGGCCTGGATATGCAGCGCCAAGCTTGGCGTCACTGATTCGCTATACAAGGAAATAACAGATAAGAACGAAAAAGATATTTCAAGTTTCATTAAATCTCTTGCCTTGAAGTTGAATCCGTCCATGAATCAAAATCAGCAAGCAGAGGGTTTGATCGAGGAATTGACGAGTCCCGAATCAAGCAACAACCTGAAAGAGTTCGCCCACCTTCTCTGGTGTGTAAACTCAATTTTCATCGCGAGTTTTAAAAAAGCAGACGAGCATTACATCAACGAACAACTTTCAGTTCAGGCTTGGCTCCTCAATCTTGTGGAGGAAAGTGGGAAAGGGGAGAGTGTCTCAATGCAAGCTCAAGACGCCGAAGAAAGCCTTATCAACCTCCTTAGGAAAGCCCTTGCTTCAAGGTATTCAGCTCCTATCTACTCGATATATAGAAATCTTGATACCGTCCTACCCAATGGAGTAGTTTGCCCAAGTCAACTATTGATGACAGAAACCGTGATAAATATTCTGGCATCTTACTACAAGTCGCAAAATATGAATAAATGGAAATCCCTATTCCAACAAGACAAGGACTTTTTAGAGGCTCTCAGAAGAAGTAAAGGTTGGAATTCGGGTCCTTCTCAAATCTTAAGACCTACAACTGAAATAGAAAACGAAGAATCGATAAATTTCTTTCCATGGAATGAAAGGATTCCCGATGGATCGATGATTGGCACACGCAATCAAAGAACGGTCTTCTTCGGTATACGTGGCGATTTTGACACCGAAGGGAGGGTCATGCTTATAAAAAGACCGCGCGAAAAACGAAATACCTCGGTGATTGATTTTCAACTCAAACAAAAATGGTTTTTAAGCGAACATCCTGATAAGTTGTGGGCACTCATTTCGTCAATCGAAACTTACTATGGAAATTTCATACGAGAACCCTTGAACCCGCTATTACATCCGCCGGATTTCGAGCCAATGGCCACACAATTGACCATTTGGAGATTTCAGAACCCCGAAAATCTTCAAAGATATCCAGTGAAATATGATTATAAATATGTCCGAAACAAATTTAATCGTGATCTGCAAAGGATGCTTGGATTGATTTGGAAAATACACTCAAGATTACTTGAGAGTTTTGGCTATGAACTTAATGGAAATGTTATTCTGGAAGAGCAACAAGGGCTAACCAAGGAATTTTTTAGACTACTCACTCTATCGAATATTCCGGAATCAAATAAACTCTATCCGCAAACCCCCATACTACAAAACTCAATAGACCTACAACGAAAGATCATTGAAGCCTTAGAAATGGATGGTGAAACAGTGATCTACAAGATCAAGAAACGCGTACATAGAATAACGCGTAAGGAAATAGCAATGTCAAAAGTAGCGGTCGAAGTGATGTTAATCTATTACTGGAGGATAAATACACCCAAGTGGTTACAAATTTTTCAAGACGAGGAAGGTTTTGTATTAAACTTGGCTCAACTTGCCACCAGACTTATCAGCAAGAAGTCATTTGAGAGAATCAAAGAAAAGCATTATAAGATGATCGGGCAGATAAGGATTCTTCCATGGAAAAATTATTTGATTGAAGCAGATGAACGAAGTGTAAATATTAAAAGATCATTCTACTTGTATCGTACATCCAAAAGTATCTTTGCTAAAGTTGACTTCAAATGATGAAATGTTATTGTTTCCTCTTTCTCTTTGTTTGTTGCTATATCAGTTTCTTGGTTCTTTTTTTCCCCGCTTTTTTTTTCTTTGAGAAAACCAGTCAAACAGTTAAATAAATGCCATTTCCAGTAGAACTACTAGTAGTAGCCTTCAAAAATTCTGAATACATTTTCCATCAGGGTGTTATGCTGTGGTCTTACAAAGAAATCTCAAAAACTGGTCAATATTCTACTGAATTTTTTGTATAAATTTCCAAAGTGTTTGAAGCTCTAATACAACCTGTTCTAAAAAATAACAAATAAATTACACAAGGATTCCTGAGCTTGCATTACAACACTAGTTTCTTCGACCTACAATGCAATCTTGGCTATAAGTCACAAGGTGAAACTTGAAAGACAGAGGTTACTCTCATGAATTTGTTGTCTTTTACAGAAAACGTACACTGATTTGAATTTTCTTATCAGAGTTGGGAACATCACAATTCTTTCTTCCAAATAAATGTGCAGGTTTAAACAAGATCTAGGGGAGAATAGAATTTCCAGGGAGCAGTTTCATTTTGAAACTAGAAGCATTTTCCATAATTTCTTTGAAAGCCAAAAGCAATTTTGCAGCTGAAGCCGGACAATTTTGAGTTGATGATGCTGCCTGAGGCCCCCCTGAACCGAACGCAGTTAGAGGTGAAATCCGAGATTCCTGTGAATGAGTTAGTACTGATACTATTCAGCCGCAAGTTGGAGGTGTGTTTCTTCGAAACGTGCACCGCATGTAGACTGTAAAACAGATTGGCTTTGGCGTGACGGTGAGATCACTTGTTCTGCGTAGTCTTCTCTCGCACTGAGATTGGTGTGTTGATGCAGGTCTTTCGAATTTCGTGCCGACTCTTTCGATTCATTATACACCCCTCTTTACGTCGTATGAACATCCATTTATCTTGCTACATAATCTGCATTTTTGGTGGGACTCCACAACATACCTTTCCTGCCTATTATACGTTTCGGAACCCCCAGAAAAACATTCAGAATTCCCCTTGCTTGCTTCAGAAATCCTGACTCTTATAATTATCTTCAAAGCGGGGACGTTTTTTGCTCTTGTTGGAAATGGTCTTTCATTTTCTTCTTGATACAACGATCAATGAGGGCATAAAGTTATTGACAGCAAGATATTAAGGAATAGTAGCTTTTTTTCTTTTGAGGAGAGCTTTTGTTCGGGGATGGAAGACGATCATGATCAAAGCATGAACGAAAACAGGACAACAAGCAAGTTCTCAAGAACCTTTCTTGATGCTGATATTTATGATAACTTATCAGTCCCGATGGGGCGAGAGAGAGAGAAAGGGAGAGTGCGTGGTGGATGGTCTTACTTGACAAGAGCCGTCAACACAGCAAGGCTTTTTTGGAGCAGGTATTTATTCATTGGAGGTCGGCAAAGAACGGGCGGAGTTAGGAAGAGAGGGGGGACACAATCACAACATTTTATATCTATCTGAATGGCTAGTAAAGGCTTTAATCGAGCTTGTAACCGACCTATTTACACATCATCGTTTCAAGGTCATCCATCAGCTTAAACTTCTCTATCCACTCAGATCATAGACACAGAGGAAAAATTTGGTACTCAACTATATGACGTCGACCGATCATCTCTCCGATACTACGAACAGGAAAAAACGATACAAAATCACATGAGTATCCCTTCTAGCCCGGATTATTCAATCCTAACCTTACACAAAAAAACGGGACTGACCTGAACAAGCCGACAGCTTCGACACCATAAACAGCCAGCCTTTTCCAATCGCCGGACTCCAAGGATTGCTTCCAAAAGTTCAACGAACTGACGTTCCTCAAGATTTCATGATAGGATGATTTGATTTGTTCGAGTTTAGGTGGGGCTAAGTTTTCCTTAATATAGACTTGTTTTAAGACTTCTTTCGTGAACTGATAGTTTTGTGAGACCGGTTGGCTGTATGCTATAGAAAAAAATCTCATAGATGGAGTTAGAGATGGGATGAAGAGTGGATCGAAAGAGAGAGAGGGAACGAAGGCAACACTCACAGCCCAACAATCCATCGAAACGTTTTCCGATTTTCTCAGACAGTTCGGGTAACTTGGATCCATACTGGTTAGCGAGATCAGAAGCCTTTTGAGTGAGCTCGTTAATTTTCGGTGAAGGATTACTATTAGTCGAGGCGTGTCTACAAGAGGAGGGAGTATTGGCCCGATGGATCGTCAGTAATCGTTGTCGGATCTGATTGAGAGAGCTCATGATGATGCTGGTGATCGATGCTGATGCTGATGGTCTTGACGAGGTGGTTGGTGGTGGTGGTGCTGGTCGACTTGGCTGGGTTCAGAGTTGACTGTAAAGAATCGGAAGCTGAGAGGGGGCTTGTCCCGCAGTTCGATTGCCTACATACATTCCGCAGCCCTCCTCGCTTGCCCCATAAAATATCGGAACCCAACTCTCACTCTGCACCCCACACACCTTCTTCTTTCTGTAAAAAGTATGGTATCTACTAGAGGTTTGGTGAGAGGATTGACTGACTCACCATTGGACACCAGCTGAGCAAGCTCAGTTTTGTGTTGCACATCTCAAAGACTGGAATTTCATAACCTTCCCTCAGGCCTACTCCTTCAACATTCATGTGCATCTCTGGACTATAATTCTTGAAGGAATGGTTTGATGATTTTAAGGGATATTCCTTCAAGTTTCAAAAGGAATTGTAAATTTTTGTAGGGTCATTCATGAAGAAACATAGTTTGGGTGGAAACCCAATTAAGATAATTGGAGTTGATGTGAGTAAGCCATGCTCACAAAAAATGATGATGTCATGAACTAGTCATAGATTTTTTATTGTTGTTTCTCTGAGGTTGGGCCGACCTTTGGATCTGTTGTCTTGAAATCAGGATCATGAACTGCCGTGATCCAAATGTAGGCCCAACACAAACATGCAATGATGAAGCCAATGATGGCTTTGTGTTGGGCTTCAGCTCTGTGCTGGTGGGGATGATGACATGTCCAATTTTGTTGGCATGACTTTGATAGGCTTTTCTTTTTAAAAAAAACATTTTTTAAAAAAAACATTTTTTTCAAAATGAGTTTTCTGGGCCTTGTTCCATGCAATAAAGGGGCTAACCATGTTTCAAAATGTGAAAAAAAAACAATGTCTTCAACAGAAATGCCACATTTCTGAAGAAGATTCAGCATAATTGTAGGTGATGCAGCTGTTAATGTGCCTAGGGAGTAGAACGATTTTGTATAGTGTTATATGTTCCCCTGTTGATGCATGATCTGCTCCCATCAAGAGGCCTGCCCAGCATGGGCATGTAGGTTGTAGGTTTGAGGCAAAGGAGGAGAACCCTTTTGTTACAAGACTGTGCCTCCTAATTTTTTTGCAACTTGTTACACCCACAAGAGGCCACTGACATCTGCTTCTTTTTGGAATTCAGGCCCACGGCATGATCCAGCGAGAGCCATCCATTGCAGTCATGCCCACAACATAATCTGATGAGTGGCCCACATCACAATTCGGGCTAACAGCAGCATCCAACACCTCCGGCCCTTAGCCCAGCCATTTTTTTGGGTGAGGTCAGAAGAGTGAGGCTGACAAAACGTGTGATGCAAGCCCAACGTTTCTCGCAACCTGTGGTGTCGAACTTATCGCAAGTCTCAGGCTGCGGGGGGCGCATCTGGCAGCGTAGCGCTGGCCAGGCGGTTCCCGAAGGGAACTCCCCGCAGGGGAGACTTGGGCCAGAGGTCGAAAAACTCAGGTGCTGAGTTTCTGGTGTTTTGGTGGGAGCGTCACAAGATTTGAAATCATGACGCTCCCTCAAAACTTTTTTGATGTTTGGTCTCGGATTTTTACAGACCTGCCTGATCTTATTGATCAGGCCAAATTTCAAAATTTTAAAATCACAAAAGTAATTAATATTGATTTTCTAAAATCAACGTTTGAACTTTTTTTACGCTCACATAAGCAGCTTGATGAACTCGCGCTCACCAAAAAAAACTCAACTTTTGTTGAAAAGTTGTCATTTTCAAAAATAACTATATCAAAACTGACAAAATTACAAACTAATGTGAGCAGAGGGAAACATTTACAAGAAGCAGACCCTCCTTGGTCCACAAGGAAATTAGATAATAGTGGAAGAGGAAGAGTGTAGGCAGAAAAATGCACAAAAAACTGGCTTTTAAGCCCAAATTTGAAAACTCAGCACGCAGGGATTGCCGCATCTGTCTTAGGCCTCCACTGGCGTGGACAGCTCCGCTGCTCGCTCCCGCTCCCGCCGTGGAGGCCTAGTTAGGCTTGCTGTGGTGTACATTTCCACACACAGAACATGGCGGGGGAAAACCACACATGTTGATGTTTTTTTTGGAGTGCTTGGGATGTGTATACCCCAAATCCATTGTGGCATGACAATTTGTCCAGCCAAATTCAGATATGTGGTTTTAATATGGGTTTTTACCGCCAACAATGAAACGGATGTGATGCGTGCATCGGCATCACATCACATTGTGCGTTTATTGCATTGCATCAGAGTGAGTGATGTGGGGCCCCGCATTGGAAAAACTGATGCGGAGAAGACGCCAATGTTATTGGCAGGCATCGCCTGACTCTCCCTCCGGAGTCCCTTGACATGAGGCAGGGACTCAGGAGGGGTTGTGCACAGCGAGCTCACTTTTTTGATTCCAAGACGTTGGATTTGTTGTGAAGGTGGAGATCACATCAGATCCAGCCTTCGCGACATTAAGAACCACATTGGTGTCTTCTTCATGTAGCCTACAACGTTAACACAATGCTAAACAAAGCAGATTTTGTGAACACGTCTTCACCAATGTCAAGAATGACAACAAAAGCTCCCCTGTCAGAGAACAGGGCCATTGGCTTTGATTTTGCTGTGGAAACCACATTGGATTCCACAATCCGATTTGATCCGCTGCTCACCCCAAAAGCTCCCCTGTCAGAGAACAGGGCCATTGGCTTTGATTTTGCTGTGGAAACCACATTGGATTCCACAATCCGATTTGATCCGCTGCTCACCCCATCTTGATTGATTTGTTACCCTGAAAATTCAAAAAATTTGATTATTGAAAAAATAAAAATTGTGATGAAAGAGGGGACTTAGAAAAAAAAAATATTGGCTAAACAACTAAACAACAAGGAGGTGGTACTAAACCTGTAAAACTTGCCTCTCGGCTATCAAGTGGCTTGTAGCAGCATTGGCTACAATGGCCGCTGTTAGTACCGTTGCAAAGGATTGATCCCTGTCCTGGATGTCTTTTGCTGCCAGCCACAGCCTACTTCAAGCTTGGTCTGCTTTCTCATCCTTATTTTGAGGGATGAGATAATTAGATTTTGATTTCCAATTCTCATCATCAACAAAATCTTACCCAACAAGGGAAGTGATGCAGTAACAATCTAGGTCATGGGTGGATGTCATTTCACATTGAATTTCCCATTCAGTGAACAATGTCATTTCAACATGAATTTCACCAACAAGGTGGCATCGGGGTGAGCCCGCTGTGTACTCACTGATCCAGGGGCAAGTAACTCTGGAGTCGCGGCCTCAATTTCAAATCATCCTGACTTCAAGTCCGACTCGAGTCTTTAATCCTAATCTATACAGGCTACAGCATCCAAATATTGCTTGGATTCAAAACGAGTTTTCCATCTTTTACTGCTATAAAGTTATATATCAATCTTGGTGACCATGACAAGATCAACCAGCAAAGAGTCAACGTAGGTTGACATTTCCTCATTGTTTCTCTTTGAATACCACTTTCTACCAATGAGGTGGTTGTTGCTTGTAGCGTACTGATTTGGGACTCTTCACCGTTCTACATTTGATGATTGTCAAGATCAACAAGTTTGAGTCTCGTCAAAATAAAGAATCTGCTTGTAGAGTTCCTAGCTAGGACCAAAGCTGAGAGGTCAATTTCTTATCTATCATTTTATTGTTCAACCTCAAACAACTCAGATACTCAATCTTACAGTTTACTTTTTCTTTTCATTTGTTCTACATGTATGTATGTGTATTTGAATTGATCAGAAAACGGAAAGAACTGGGTGCATAATGGGTAGCATGATGGACTTAGCCTGATTTCACTTGTCATGAAGTGAGCATTCTTTTTTTCTGGTGCATGTAGCTGGTGAAAACAATTTTTTTTTTTGAAATACTCACTCCAAAACTTAGGGCTTATAACTTTGAACTTTACATACCTGTCCACATTTAATTAAAAAGAGTATTGGTATATAATTTCCCTTCCCCCAGGGGGAGGGCCCTTAGGTCCATTTTGTATTTTGTGGGAAGGGCAGGGTTGGCTTTTGCCATCTGCCATTGGGACCAATTTGTCCCCTGGTCATGGGGCTGTGTCATGGCAGCAGAGATCTCTCCAGCAAACAACAGTTGAGAACTTGTGGTGCTTGAATTCAGACTTTCAATTTTTTCAGTGCTTTTTTTTTCTTTATTCTTTTCTTTCTCAAGTGTATCAGTGTATTGAAATGAAAAAAAAAACAATGAAAGAGAATACTTATAATACATGTTTAAACATAAAATAAATTGAAATCAACCACTTCTCTGCCTCATACACAAAAAAGCCCAGGGTTTTGAGGCTTTTGTGACCCCTGGTGGGAGGCTTGCTGGTGTGAAGCACTGGCTGGTGGCAAAGCCACCCCTCCTGCAGGGAGGGACTTAGGACTAAAGTGCCCCTACTCACCAGAGGGGACCTGAGCAATCAACTGTATTACAAAACCTGTAGCTCCCTCATTTGATGAGCTACACATGTTGTTCCAGCAAAGGAAAGATGCAGTTGCATCTCTTGTTGCTTTCTCTCTACTCAGTTTTGCAGAAAGTGTTTCCTACAAGAAAATCAAACTCAAAACTGTAAAACAAGAATTTGATGCTGCATGGAAAACTTGAGCCGCAGGCTAAGATAGAGGACTCCGAGTTTGATTCACAATTTATCTGAAATTCAACGGTTTGGTGGACATTGTAGCTTGTGAGCTCTAAAAATCAACAGAGTCAAGTAGATCCTACCTTACAGTAGCTGGGCCCGGCTGAGTTGAAACTACAGTCTATAAAAATTGATTACTGGATTTTTCAGTTTTTTCATGGATGGCCTTGGTTGAGTGCCCCCACTTTAGGCATAAGTCCCTCCCTGCGGTCGGGCGGGGTCCAGTGCTTCACCACTGCACGCCCAACCGCAACTGGGCGGGACTCAGATAAGTTAGCTGAACCCCAGGGTTTGGGACCAGGCCAAAACCCCGAGCCCCGCTTTGGGGGATTGTGCACCTTATTTTCAGACTTGAGCAAGTGGCCTGTGGATGTGTGCGAGTACATTGTTGGATTTAGAATCAATATATCTACTCTTTCATTGTTGCAGTTTGACTTTTGTACCCTCCCTCCCCCCCCGACTGGAGCCCCTTTTCGATCAGCCTGAATTGGATATGCAAAGTGGATTCCGCCGTACTGGGGACGTCGGTCGGGTGTTGGTGGTGATCAAAAGTTGTCGAGGGAGGTAGCACATGATCATAATACCCAGCTCGGCCAACTTCGATCGACCTTGGACTTCACAAACACAACTCGAGGAGGATCGATGATGATTGTTCGAGCATGATCAGGTCGTGAGCCGAACACAGAATATACGAGATGAGCGAAGCGGATCCTCCCAACAATGTATTATTAGAGAATAACGCGACGACGACGGATGGTGTGCTTCAAGGATCAAACCATGGAGAAGAAAGCACTCGAGAGGAACACCAAGATACCAATCAGCTGACCAAGGAGTCCCTGAAAAACGAGCCCGAAGATGCAGAGAAAGAAGCAGAAGAAGATCGGAAGCTGGGAAGAAATCAAGAGGCATATGCAAGAGTAACACACACCTTAAAAGGCCACACCCGACCGATCTCGAGCCTCAGTTTCGCGCCCGACGGGACCAAGCTCTCGAGTTCGAGTGCCGACGGGGTGATCCTGATATGGAACGTGATTTTACCGGAGAAGCCGAGTAGTGATCGAGGAGGGGTGGTCGGCCATCAGGTGGAGTTCATGAGCAAGTTAGTCGACGGAGCCTCGGAAGATGAAGAGAACGATCGGCCTCGGGAGGGTATCAACGACTTGGCTTGGTCTCCCGACTCGGAATACTTGGTCAGTGGCTCGGACGACCATGCGATCCATGTCTGGGCCCCCTCGTCTCAATCCCTCCCATCTAATCCATCATCATCATCATCATCATCAACTACAAGACCGATCCGCAAATTGCTCGGCCATTCCCATTGCGTCTATTGTGTGAAATTCAACCCGATAGGAACCCTCTTGATCTCCGGAAGCTTCGACGAAACAGTCAAGGTTTGGGACTTCCTGGCTGGCAAACTTCTCCGTACTCTTCCTGGTCATAGCGAGGTCGTGAGCTGTTTGGACTTCAGTCGTGACGGCTCCGTGATCGTCAGTGGCAGCTTCGATGGCTTGATGTCAGTTACTTTTTTTTCTATTCCTTTTTCTCTTCTTTTTGCTTCGCCTGTCTTGATAAACTAATCTTGTTGGGTCCTTGTAAGAATAGTCGGATGTGGGATACGACGAGTGGACAATGTTTAAAAACAATGGTAGTAGCTCAAGAGACCAATGCACCTGTGTCAGTATCTTTTTTTTTCTTTCGTCTCACTTTCCCTTCCACTTTCACAAAAAAAAAAAAAATCTTATGGATTTCGGACTCATTTTAAAATAAATCGCCAAAAACAAAACAGAACGTTTATTACTTTTACGCCGAATTCGCGTTATTTGATCACGTGTTCATTGGATTCGACGGTCAGGATATGGGACTACAGGTCGAAAGAAGGGACAGTAATGAAGTCGTATACAGGACATACGAACATCAAGTAAAAAAAAACCTTTCATCTTCTCTCCCAACCGATTCCACACCGTTATATTTTTTTTTTCTGCCAAAAACGATGGATTGACTGATGTCTTGATCCTTTATTTTGACTCAGATATTCTATTCCTGCACGAGTGATCTCGCGCGTCACGACTACGAATAAACTGGATCCAGGGAATCCAATTGGTGATAGAGACCTAGTCTTGATGGGCAGTGAAGACGGTAGTCTGTGGATCTGGGACCTGCAATCTCGTGAACTCGTTTTGAGGAAAGCGTCTCATCAAGGTATGTACATCTTCTCTCTCCTCCGTGTCTGAAATCTAATCTTTTCGACGATCGATTATGTGTAGATTCGATCATCGGAATCTCAGTCCATCCAACCAACCCATCTATTTTTGCTACAGCTGGACTAGATAAAGACCCTTCCATCAAACTTGTGTCTCTTTCTTGTCCACCTTCTTTAAAAACCTGACTCCGCCTTCATCGAAGTCATGGATTGTAAATTAATTAAACAAAGATCTGAATTACGATGAGTCAAAGCCATGGAATTTGTAATCACAATGTTTGAGCGGTACATTTTTGATCGATTAGCTGCCAGCAGCTGGCAGAAGAAGATACTCCGTGGAGGTCTGGGATAGGACGCTAAGTAGCGTTCGGACTGGTTGGCAGGCCGACGGCTACATCGTCTTCTGATGCAGCTCCTGTGGCTGCAGCCGACCCACCCAACTCGGACGACATAGCAAGACAGCTCAACTTTGTGGTATATCGGTGCACTCATCCCACCACCAGTAGTACACCAACAGTTGCAAGACATGGTCCAACCTGAGGCTGGGGTGAATCCCAATACCAACACTGGGTCGCTTTTTTATGCTGCATTATCTTAGTAATGTAGTGCACTTGATTCTTTCCCTGATACATTAACATTATCTGTAGTGGCAAATTTCTCTTTCAGCCAGTGATGTAATGGTGAAGTTTTTGTGTGTAATGAATGGATAAAGTAATGCATGATCAGATTATCCAGAGGTCAAGAAACCCTTAACACATCTTAAGTGGCAAAAAGCCTCCCTTTTTGAGCTTTGGCAGCAACACATGCCATGAATATCCAAAAAGTATCACATGTCTTGTCAATATTTATGGGGTTTTTTTAAAAAGAACTACAAGTTGCTGATAGTGTATCAAGCATGAAAAAAAAACCCAAGACAAAATGGATAATGTAATGTGCCAAACATTTTCAAACATTATGGGGAAAGTAATGATGATGAGTGGAAACTCACTACCTTATCTTTACACTACCATCACAGGTAATGTGACTACCCAGTGTTGCCAACACCCTTGACAAAATCAAAGAACAGCTGGTCACCATCATTCAGACTCAGCAAGAAACCGTCCAATGCATATACAACCTTGAAAACGGTGTACTTGGACTACTGAGGCTCTTCGCACCCACTAAGGATCTGTTGGCAAGGTTTGAAGAAGATGGCACACCAGCTCGTCCTCAAGTACCCCTCCGACAACCTTGCCAACAGCGTCAGCATCCCTACAACATGCGAAACCTCCAATAGCCTTATTTTATCTCACTCTTGTCATCCTCTAAACTCCTTATGTTGGCTCTTGCTACCCCTCCCTCCCCCCCGGAAAAAGATTTCACTCGGATTTATTAAGATCATTCAATTTGTCCTTCTTTTTTTACATGAAATCTAGTAATGTGGCTGTTTTGAGTCGGAATTGGCTTTAATGCCCTGACCTGTTTTCAACATAACAGATCTCAAGGAACCCATTCCATTTTCTTTGTATGTATACTTTACCATGTAGCCAGTCCCTCTTCTTCTTCTTCTTGACTACCAAAACAGCCTCGAACCAAGTGAACTGGCCGGTCCGGCTCTGGTTCACACTTCAACCGACTGGTTATCTATTGATGTTCAGGTGGATTTAGGAAAGCCAGTCTTTTGGCAGCTTGCAAGTTTCCCACTACAAACCATTGCATTGACTAAGTACTCCCATGACTACTTATTCACAATATCATCACCATGAGCTCTCTCAATCAGATCCGACAATGATTACTGGGCATCCTGTTGAGGGGAACCCAGGTGATTGAAACAGATAGAAGGCAACCGAACTCACTGTGAGGTTGACTGAGTGAGAAATGTGGCTAGATTTTGATGAGGAGAGGAGAAGAGACAGAAACCGGCAATCTAGTAGAGATGACGTGCTTAGTAGAAGCATACCTCACTACTAGCATATGATGACTACATACAGGTATCCCAACACCCCTCCTTGCTGATAACTAAGCCATTGTTTGATAGTTGAAGAGAGAGAAAAAAATAAGAAACTAGGATAATGTATCATTTAAGATTGCTAGACTAAAATGATAGAGAATCCACAGTAGGCCTGAAAACTATTCAGCGTACTAAGAAGAAATAAAAAATTGGTGTCCAACTAAGTTCGATTACTCATATAAGACATCGATTTCATCTCCATCGTCAAATGAACCTGAGTCGTAGCCACCGAGCTTGACTGTTGATACTGCACCGGCCTTTGTTTTTGGTTTTCTACACTCGGATGACTTGTGGCCTCGTTTGCCACAGTTAGAGCACCCAAAGCGCTTGGATGAGGCAAAGGAGGCTGAGGCAAAGTCGGTTGACGTTTTTCCGTTGAGGCTAACTTCGTGAGCTTCCAAGGCACCGATGGTGTCGTCCAAAGACATCTCTTGAGCCGTATATACTATCGAGTCCTTGACAGCGGACCATGAGCTGTCTAATCCAGCAACAAGGCGATCGGCAATGTGTCGGTCGGTCGGCAACTCGTTGATTGTTAGTAATTCATCGGCCGCAACCCTGACATGACCAATCCAGAGAGCAATTGGTGTATTGGGGTCGTGTTTGGATTCCCAGAATGCTTCTTGAAGGCGAATTCTTCGAGCTCTTGTGTTCTTTTCGTAAGCGTTAACGATAGTCGTAAAGAGACGGGTAGCGGGTTTGGTTTTTCGATATCGCAAAGCCAATGGCCGCGAAAGCGTCAGACGAATCGTAGCGCAGGCGAGCTCGGAGAGAGCGTCCCAGTCGGCGACGACTTCCTTGGGGTTATAGCCTTTCGAGTAGTCCATCGATCGTGCAACCAAGCTGTCTGATTTGGAGTCTTCCTTAGGTCTTGGGAGAGATCCGTTCACTATTTTGAGGGTGTTTTGCATACTCAAAACATCCTCGATGCACGATCTCCAAACAGGAAACACTGCGGCGGTTCCATCCAGAGCTTTGACAGTGGACACGAGCGAGGCTACATTTTGTACTTGACAAGTCAACATGATTGAATGAGGCGATGAAAGTTAGAAAAAAAAATCGAGTGATCGGGTTTAAGGCCTTGAGTCTGAGTTTGAGAGGACAAAGATTAAGGGATTCAATGCGTATAGGAGCAAGACTGGAGGGTCTCATAACCTGTTGAGGGGAACCCAGGTGATTGAAACAGATAGAAGGCAACCGAACTCACTGTGAGGTTGACTGAGTGAGAAATGTGGCTAGATTTCGATGAGGAGAGGAGAAGAGACAGAAACCGGCAATCTAGTAGAGATGACGTGCTTAGTAGAAGCATACCTCACTACTAGCATATGATGACTACATACAGGTATCCCAACACATCCATCAAACTAGTACTCTCTCCTCTTGTGACATGTCTTGACTGATGTTATAATAATCCTTTGCCAAAAATTAACAAGCCTTAACAAGCTTGCTCAAAATGCTTCTAATCTCGTTAACCTGTGTTAAAGATCTGCAGTTACCCAAACCATATCTGAGAAAATCAGGAAACATTTTCAACAGATCATTGGGCTGTGAGCGTTGATTCCCTTGTGAAGCCTCTCTTTCTCTGTCCCGCTCCATCCTGCATCCCATCTCAAACTCCCAACCATTGATCTATGTACATTTCTGGCATGCTGCAAGCAAACCAGTCTCAAAAAACGGTTAGTCTCTAAAAAATAGTTTGTATGTATTGTCAGGAGAATCAAATCATCTGGCTTATCTTGAAATCTGGAGGAACTGTATGCACTTCCTTGATCTTTTGGAGGCATTCCTTGGACTCTGGAAATAAGAACTGTTTATGGTGTCAAAGCTGTTGGCTTGTTCAGCTCAGCATCTTCCTTCTTGTTGGAGGAGGAAGGGATTGAAAAGTTACAGACTGGAAGAGATACTCAGGTGGTGTTGTAAGTGGTATCGTGTTGGAAGTAGTTGTCAACTAAGATCCTTCATACACACTCTAGTGTCTCATTTGCCCCTGGGCATTCAGATTTTCAAAAACCGTTCTTGAGAGTTTCCTTTCATTTGTGTGCTTGTTGATTGGTTTTTGTGCATACTTTTATATCTTGATCCTCATCCATCCCTCAATCATAAGCTTTCATCAAAAAAAACCTGCTACCTCTTATATATCTTGTCATCATGTATGGTTGTAATAACTTTTAGGCTCTCATTGATTGTTGTAAAAAAAACAAAGAAAAGAACAATCATAAAAGATGGAAGACAGTGTTTAACGAGAAAGAAGACAAACAAAACTTCTGCTTCAAAGATAAAGAGGTTCACAATGGAGGACTTCCCGTGGGTTTTACAGGCCTTGTAAAGCTAGATTTACAGGCTGTAAAGCTAATTTTTCACTGGGAAAACGGTTTCACGAACTTGTAAAAATAGCTTTACAGGGGGCTGTAAATTCGACGGCAAGTCCTCAATTTATGACTTGATCATGAAGAATTCAAGGAAAGGAAACTCTGTTTTTTCTATTCTTTGTTTCTTGAGATTGGGTTACTTATAAACACTTCAAAGAAAGACAGAGAGAGAGAGAGAGAACAGATGAATTCAAAAGAATCACAAAGGGAGCCTGTCTCTCAACAAATTAATCAACATACGAGCGATACAAATTAATCAACATACGAGCGATCCAGAGTTCAGGACAGAATAAATGATCCCGTGACACCCCGTCGCGGCTAAGCCAATGCGTTCCAGTCGGTATATGGTGAAAATTTTAAAGAGGAACACTTTCAACTTGTGACTGGATGGTTCTAACTAATTACAAAGAAAACTGCCCTGCCAGAGAAAAATATTGCTAATATTGACCATCTATGTTTAATGTGCACATTTTGAGTAGATGTATATAATTTGATATTCTGGACAAACTCAATTTTCAAGTCACAATAGTCTAAGCTTGCTGGAAAGACCCTTTCATTCAAAACAATTCTCATGGTGTTGTGTCTTGGCCAAGTTGCTTTGTTTGTTAGAATAAACTGCTGTTCTATTATCATCTCACAAATGATTTCATGATTTACAATTTGTATTTTTTTCAAGAGCAGGATGTGTATTATGTAAAGCTCCAGCCACTACAAATGGCAACCAATAACATGTTTGAATACAATTTTTCCCGGGTTTCAAGCTTTCTGCGTAAGCCCTGAAGGGCCCACTGATGGAAAAATTAATTGAGAGTTTTGGCAACTGGAAAAACATTTTTTTTCTCTCTTGACTAAAAAAAAGGGGGAGGGGAGAGATAATTGAAATAACCAAGCTGTTGACATAGCAAATCAACAGAGAACAAGAGGGATAAATTATATGCCTTGGATTGATTCTACTTTAGCAAAGATGTTTTTGGATGTGCGATACAAATGGAAGGCTCTCTTAATATTGGCACTTCGTTCATCTGCTTCAATCAAATAGTTTCTCCAGGGTAGAATCTTTATCTGACCAATCTTTTCATAATGATTTTCTTTTATTGTATCAAATGATCGTTTGGTGATAAGTCGTGTGGCAAGTTGAGCTAAATTCAAAACAAAAGCTTCTACACCTTGAAAGATTTGTAACCACTTGGATGGATTGATTCTCCAGTAATAGATTGACATCACTTCCACCGCTATCTTCGAGATTGCAATTTCCTTGCTTGTTATCTTGTGTTTGCGCTTCTTGATCTTGTAGATTTCCCTTGCTCCATCCGAGTCTAATGCTTCAATTATCTTTTGTTGTAGGTCTACTGATTTTTCTATTGTCGGCGTTTGTGGATAGAGCTTATTTGATTCAGGAATATCCGATAAAGTGAGCAATCTATAAAATTCTTTTGAAAGCGCTTGCTGCTCTTGAAGAATGAAATCTCCTGCAAGTTCACAACCAAAACTCTCTACTAATCTGGAGTGTATTTTCCATATCAATCCAAGCACCCTTTGCACATCACGATGAAAGTTCTTTCGGATATATCCAGAATCAAATCTCACTGGATATTTTCTAAGATTTTCTGGATTCTCGAACCTCCAAGTTGTTAATTCTGTGGCCATTTGTTGAAAATCCGGCGGATGCAACAGGGGCTTCAAGTGTTCTTCTACGTAATTTTCATGGTAGCTTTCTATTGACGAAATAAGTGCCCATAGTTTTTCAGGCTCTTCGCTTGATAACCACTTGTGTCTGGGTACAAACCCAATCATCAAGACACTGTTATTTCCACTCAAGCTTTCCATGGCCATAACCCTTCCTTCGATGTCAAATTTGCCTCGTCCACCGAAGAAGAGTGTTCTTTGATTACGTATGGCAATCATCGATCCATCAGGAATCCTTTCGTTCCATGGGAAGAAATCAATCGATTCTTTGTTTTCTATTTCGGTTTTAGGTTTTGTTATAATTTGAGAAGGCCGCGGATTCCAACCTCTGCTTCTTTTGAGAGCGTCTACAAATTCCATGTCTTTCTTGAACAGTGATTTCCACTTGTTCAAATTTTGCGATTTGTAGTAAGATGCTAGAATATTTATCACGGTTTCTGTCATCAATAGTTGACTTGGGCAAACTGCACCATTGGGTAGGACGGTATCAAGATTTTTATACATCGAGTAGGTAGGAGCTGAATACCTTGAAGCAAGGGCTTTCCTAAGGAGGTTGATAAGGCTTTCTTCGGCGTCTTGAGCTTGCATTGAGACACTCTCCCTTTTCCCACTTTCCTCCACAAGATTAAGGAGCCAAGCCTGAACTGAAAGTTGTTCGCTGATGTAATGCTCGTTTTCTCGCTTAAAACTCGCGATGAACATTGAGTTGATGCACCAAAGAAGGTGGACGAACTCTTTCAGGTTGTTGCTCGATTCGGGACTCGTCAATTCCTCAATCAAACGCTCTGCTTGCTGATTTTCATTCATGGACGGATTTAACTTCAAGGCAAGAGATTTAATGAAACTTGAAATGTCTTTTTCGTTCGTATCTGTTATTTCCTTGTATAGCGAATCAGTGACGCCGAGCTTTACGCTGTATATCCAGGTGGAAGTAATGGGATGGATATCGCGAAGACTAATAAAATCTTTTTTCAAATTCGCGTTTTCTTGCACTTGAAATGTACTTGCTTCGGCCGGATTGCTTGCCTCATGTTGTCTTTCTTGTGACCTTCCGGAACTTTCAGCATGGGTGTCCTTGTTCAAACCCTCAATTGAATCGATAGGATTTGCTTGATGAAAGATCTGTGGTGCGTTTCCTTCGACTCTTTCGATTGACTGGCGAGCGCCGTCTGATGAAGAATGTGATATCGGTATTTCTAACCTCGATACAGCTGGAGAATGGTGACTTGAACTCGAAGCTATAGTCGGCGGGGCGCGATCTGTGTGTGACGACAGGCAGCTTTAGGAACTTTAGCTGACTCTATCCACTTACCTCGCTTATCACAAAAAAAAATACGTATCAATTATAGCTCAGAATGATGATCATACCTAGTTGAAAATTCTGTAACAAATCCAGAGTTCGTGGATCTTGTGCTGGTTGAACTTTCAAACGTTTTTCTCGATGATACAAATGACGATCATCATCTTCATCGATTTCCGAAATATGGTCCCAGTACAGAGGCCTCTGGTTAGAGCCACTTTGTTCGAAGCTGTTTTTACCCCAAGAACCTATTATTAAGATATGATGGGTCAGCAGCCGTACGTCCCACATGGATGAATTGGGCTGGAAAATCACCAGTGCTTCATTATCATACGGAGTGGCACTGGACATGACACTCACCAAGGAAATCTATTTCTTGTATTTCTGGTTCTAAGGGCCGCGGATTCAATTTCGAAGCAGGCTCCGAGCCGGTAGGACTCAAAGTCAGGCCAGTCGATGGCAAATTTGATCTTTCGCTTGATCTACATTGATGGACTTGTTGCGACGAGTCAGTTGCTGGAGCAGAAACCCGGAATACGATAGATTCATTACTCAACCCATGATCAGCCCAAAAGTTAATCTCCGCTCGTGTTGCTTCTACGGATTCACTCGACGGCACTCCCAGTCTCACTGTGCGGACTGGCCACAGTATGAGAACCCATCGGAGTAAGTTTTTCATCCTTGGATAGTCGTGGAGAAGCTGGGCTAGTGGAACTCAAGCGCTGGTTGTGCGAAATACGTGGTGGCCGTGGGATGGAACACGCGCTGGAAAAAGGTTTTAGAGCTCTACCGCAATGGACAAATTCTTACCACGAAGATTGTTGCTGGGATTTTCTGCACTCATATTTTTTCCCCAGTCATCCCGCCCCTTTACATGATGCCACGTTCCAGAATCAGGTTGTGTATGCATTTTCTGAGTCTCCCAAGGAAATACGGTCCTAATGGAACGCGTCTGGCCAAGACGCTTTAACGGCATAAAGTGTCTGGCTTTGATACTCAGATCGAGTTGGCCCAAGTCACGTCGGAAATAACGCATGGAACAAGCTCTACGCTGCTCTACGACAATCCTTCCAGAATTGAGGAGAACAAGTCGAAATCAAGGAAAAAAATGGCACCACCGGAAATTGTTTGAGTTTTCCTACATATGTACATGTGTGTCAGGAACGATTCAGAATCTGAAGCTTGAACTTCCGCAAGGAGCGCACTATGTTGTACCCGTCTGTAACAATCGCATCATCCTCAGGCGCAGCAAGCTTGTTGTTACATAGCCGCGTCTCGTAAATTTTTCTCTGTCGAGGGCTTTTTCGTGATCATGTCTTGCTGTGGGCACATGGGCATGTGTTCCAGTCTCCTCCAGCGCCAAGATCATCCTGATCTCATCAACCTATCACACTACTAATTACCCAACTTTTTATGCTTGGCGCTCTTGACAATTGCGGACAAATCAGTTTGTCTGTAGGCGTGAGTTATACCCTTCTCAAACCCTTCTCAAAAATGGTTCAGGGTTGTGGAAATGTGTATGGATTTCTTGGAGCAATTGTTGAAGGGATTCCGTTCAAAGGGGTATTGATTGATTGGAACCGGCCGATCGGTGATCTTGTGTGGATTCCATATCAGCGTACATTCCTAGAACATATGTCAAAGAAGAGCACATTGTTCCGCGAACGATTTTATGAATAAAATTGTGTATGATGGTGCTTTATGATGTATGTCTTATCAAGTGCGAAAGGTCGATGGGAAATGATAGAGTTACACGGATAAAGTGAATTGGAACCCCAACACAGAGGATATTTTTTTTTCTAAAGGAGTGAAAACCACATGAGATTGTTAAGCGAAAAGGGACCAATCGACGATTTTCAGACTACGTGCGGCATGTTGAAAGACGAGATCGGTGAACTCGACCGAGCGTAGAAAGGGCGGATGGTTATCAGAATTGAGGTTGGGAAGATTGAAGGAGAGGACGAGGTCGGTGCCGCGGCCCTGATTGCCGATCCCCTTCAACCGCCACAAGCCGAGCCAGATGTGCACGTCGTGTGCCTCGGCCTCGGAGCCGTTGAACTTGGCGACCGATTGGAGCCCGTAACAGCGCACCGGCTCCGGCGTCCTTCTTGCCTTGCCACTCCCGTCTCCTCCCTTGCTCGATAGACTTGTGGAAGGCCCCGCTACGAGCGCTGGCGGCTCCGTAAACTGTCTCACATCTTCCGGTACCGTGATGGATTTGATGGTCGCTAGTTTGGAGCAATTGTCATGCGCTAACGAATCGAAATGGTACCTACACACCCACGCCACAGACTTTATCAATATCATATTGGTTTTTTTTTTTTTTTCATGAGAGACGGCTTTTGCTCTGAAGAAACGGAGATGAAAGTTGCGATTTACGGAGGACATGTTGGGGAGACCTACTTGATAACCGATTTCGGGTGGTTTTTTCCATCTTCGCCAGGAGTAGTGTCGTTCTGTTGGAGATATTCGGGGTCGTCATTCGGATTGACCAGCTCGAGCACCTCGACGATCATTGAAAGATCCTTCGTCAACAGCGCCGTCTGATCTGCCGACCGTTCTTCTTGATGCTGTTGGTTCCCGGACTCATCGCGGCTGCTCGACGTGGTGATGAAGACTTCTTGAGTATCTGGGACTTGGCGGAACGTACTGCGTGTTTATGAATCACAAAATCTATCCATGTGTCAGTAATTTTTTCTGGCTTTTTTCTTGAAGGAACCCGTGATTACATTATTACCTGACGTCGATAATCTTGGGCGGAAGTTCGATGGTGATTGCTCCGCCGAACAGCGGCACTTCCTTGGCCTTATAACTTGTCGTCGTCGTTGGCTGCTGCATCCTCCTTCGTGGTGGTCTCGTTGATTCCCGTCGGGCGGCCCGACTACGGCACTGCATACATAAGGCGCGGTTCCGCAAACCATCCCCTGCCCCGAGAAAACCCCCGGTATACCGGAAATCAAAAATGGTGATCTTGGCTTTGTCCACATCCGCCCAAGGTTGAAAAAACACCAGTTGTTGCCAGGATTAACCCCAACGACTGTGTCAGAATATGTTTTGATCATCAAAAAGAACTCATGCCCTTAACCAAATTTTTAGGAAAGATACAAAAATGTCTTGGCTATCTTTTTCATTACACAAAATACATACACACAGAGAAATAGAAAGTTATTCTGCGGTATCACTCGATGTATGGATTTGAACAAGTGGTTAAGAAATGGGGAATTTAACTCAGTTACTATTGTTCAATTTTTGATTAATATGATTGTTGACCGTTAAAATGTAGTGAATATTGTGAACAGTGAATCTGATATTGTAGCCACATGGGCTAGAGTGTCTCTGTTTCTGCCAACCCCCTGTTTGTAACATTGCATTGCAGAACATTTAATTAGATGAAGTAGGCTCAAAATAATGGTAGCCTACTGAGGTACAACTGAATGTACATAGAATAACAGAACTAAAACCTGACTATCTCTACAGCATCAGCAGAATGGGGCTAGGGCCACTGCAAAGAGCAATAGATAAGCAAAGGGTTGAAAGGGATAATCTGAAGTTGGAACAAGTTTTAGTCTGGGATTTGAGAGTTTGATGATGAAATTATGTACCTTTTGACCATAAACATCTTGTCTTATCATCCATATACTTGAATTGATGAATATATTCTACATGTTGGACCTACTGTAACACCATAAAACCTGTTTGAATGATCAAACTACATTGGGGCATGTATATGAAAAATTACTTTACTTATGACCAATTTCAATGGAAAGATTTTTGATAATCTGGGCCCATGAATAAAAGCCTTGCTCAGAATTGTCTCAATTCAAGAAATCAGCTATAACCTGCTCAAGCCTCACTACACCTAGAGAAATCATGAAGTATCAAAATATTAGACTTATCAACTACTCAGCATTATGCTACTTTGCTTACCAAAATTTGTGGGCCCATCCAGCACCTTTGTACTCAGATACAGAAAGTTTGTGGCGGTTTGATTTTGATACAAGTAATGAAGATCTCCTTGAAGTGTTCAATCAGGGAAAATCACTTGGCCAAAAGCATTCTGCAGGTATTCAATTGGAACCCAAGAATCCAGGCCATTCAATTATGGCGGACTTTGGAGTTCAAAGCAGCCAAAAAAATGATTACCAAGGTGAGGTTACTTCTGATTCAAATTCTATTTGTACCAGGGCTCCATGTCATCATTTTTGTCAATTCAACTTTATTTGAGGCAGGGATCCCAGAAGATGTTTTGTCACAAGATGGACCCAAGAAGCAAAAGAAAGTACACACTCACTATGAAACTCAATCACAACCCAGGTTTGAGGTTCTTGACTCCTCTCCTAGTGCTTATCCTGATCAGACCTTCATGCCACCTGGAGTTGAAGATGTGATAACCAATCACATGTATGCTTGTACTAGTACATCACACTCTGAAGCACAAAAAAAAGAATCAGGCCAAACACATAATCAAATTTCTGGCTTTATCCCAACAATAGCACCACAAACTCCCACATTCACACTGAGAAACTACGGAAATCACAATAATGAAGGATTGGTATTTGAAAGAGAAGAAAAAAATCTTGAAATGTCAAAATCACTCTCTGTGCTTCCATTTCACCATCATTTGGATGGAAATTCAATATTTGATAACCCTCATGAATTTCATTGGACATCACATATTAACTTTGAATCAGAAAAACTTGATCCCAGATGGTCACCATTCTCAAATCAACTAGACCTGGAAAACGTTGACAATCACAATCAACCACACATTTTTTACCAATTTCAAAATGATAACAAAGAAAAAAGTGAGCAAAAAATCTTAAACACCATCCTATCCTGAAGAATGAGGGCTGATTTTATATTTGAAAAACAATTCTCCAATGGTGTAGATTTAGCTACATCTTCTCAAAAAATGGAACTGCTGTCTTCTACCATTAATATGTCTCAAAAAGCTGACCAGAATTCTCCAAGGGTTTTGGGGAAAATGATAGTTCATGAGAATCCACATGATTTGAATAGTAAATCAAACGAAAAAGAAACAAAATTAGATCCATACAGAGATGTTCAAGGTGATTTGAAACTTTTTCTCTTAGCCTCAAAACAAGAGATAGAATATTATCTACACACAAAACGCCATTTCTACCGGACAAATAATTTGATGAGTCATGAAGTTCTGGATGTATTAAATCAAAAATTCAGGGTGAAGATTTGGGAAAACATTCCTCATTACAAAGGTGAAATAATTCTCAATTTAAATTACATGGAAAGTTACCCTGTCAGAATTTCACAGAGCATTCGTGATAAAAGATATGTCATCCGTGTTTTATGTCTTCACAAAAAACTTGCTGAACCAGAAAGTTCTGTGAGACTTCAAGACAAGCCTACAATTTACAAATTGTTCATTGAATTAATTCAATCAATTATATTGGTAAATAAGGCTGTGCTAATCAGCTTCTTGGGAAGAAGAAGTAAGCTCAAAGAAGAAGAAGTCAATCATCAAATTTCAAATTGGTTGTTTGAACAAGCATTTTGTCCTGAAGGAAATATTCTCCCTGTATTTGGAATGGTCAGAAATATTGAAGATGGGATGTATTTCGGACCCATTCAATCAAAATTATTGAATTATCTTTCCCAAGAAGTAAGCTCAGATGCAGCACTTGAATTATCAAGCTTTATTATTAAATTCTATTGTGAAAAGTCACAACCTGAAATTTTCAATTGGCTTTTGGGTCTTGAGGAGAAGCATGATTTGGAAGCTCTTTTAAAGAGGTTGCTATGCAAGGAGATAAAATCAAAATTGGTATTCAATGAGCCAATTGGAAGCTGCAATGATCCTTTCAGCCAGGTGGGAAACCTTAGAATACCCCCATTAAGCTTTTTTCCAGAAATTCTGAAGCCAAAAACCTTCAAATTTTTGCACAGCATGGAACTTAAGAAAGAGGCAATTCTTGAAGATTTTGAAAGAGTTTGGAACAAAGTTCGAACAAATAGTAATAAAGCAAACATAAAATCAAATGATCTTCCAATTTCAATCAGAAAATTCAAATATGACAACATCAAACATATATTTCAGGGATTCCTTTGGGTTACTTTTGATACCAGAGAGCGTATTCCAAAACATGTACTCTGTCAGAAGTTGAATAGATTGATAGCTCACCTGAAAGCATGTTTTTTAGGCTTGGAAGAAACATTCCAATCAAGAAACAAAAACTGGAATAAACAGATACACAATGAAATTTTTTTTAGATGGCTTCATGTTCTACTTCTGGAACAAACAAAGAATTCACTTCCAATCTTTGGGTATTTTTCAATGAAAAATAGAGACTTTGAGGAAAATCCTCCATTGTCCTCAGATTTTTCTGAAATCCAGGTCTTATTGATCAAGTATATAACCACTTCATGTACAGACTCCCCAGTCATAATAGTGGCCCTATCTTTGATTGGGTATTGGTACAAGAATTACCTCATTCAAGAATTCAAAACTTCTTTTGAGGATGATCAAGATTATTGGAATACTGTGGTTTCTATCATGGAGGAAAAATTTGATTTGAATGGTCATTATTCTTTCAAAGGATTCCTCTTCAAAATGAAAAGTGAGCAGCCTAACATATCATAGGGTGTGATATTCTACTACTATTTTCAAACAAAAAACATTGAGACAGAAAAAAAGATGGATTGTATGGCTATCTACAATTTTTATGAATTTTTACCAAACATTCAAGCACAGAATACCTGAAGAATCATGTCAAATCCAGAACTCATAGACTTATCTTCCAAACCAAATTATTAGCATTATCATAGGTTTTACTTCAAGTTTCTCATTCCCTACAATCAACTGATCTAAAAACATGTTGTTTGAAATATTCTGAGGGCCATTCTTCTACAATGACTGATATGAAAATCTCCTCAATCCACACAGATATTTTTAAAATACCCTGGAGCAAAATCTGTCTGATCCACGGTACAGTTTTTTTTTCTATTATGATTGCAAATAACAAAAAATGAGTGCAGATGGGACTGATACACTTTCTTCAAATAAATATCAATGCAGCAGCACCAATTTTTCAGAATTAAAATCATCATTTGTTTGCTAAAATTCACTACTCTCAAAATCAACAGAGTGTTAGCATAGTTGCCCTTGCCTCAACCTGCTTTCACTCTATCATCAGTGGTCTGATGTTTGCCTTTCAAAAATTTTAAGTGTAGTGAAACCTTTCTTGAATAATTTTGCACCAAATGAGGTTGTGGTTGAATGAAAGTTTTGTCAGCCCAACCACCCCAACTCCACCACAAAAATTTGCTGCCTAACCTGATGGCTTGTAGCAGGAAGTGTCGGAAGCTTCTGTTGGTGTATCTTCCAATGCAAGCCTGTGGTCAAGGCCAGTTTTTGATGTAACTTCCAGAAGCCCAACAGGATGGCAGCTTTTGGCATATCTTCCAACAGCAGGTCAGTAGAGTTCCATCTGTTGGCTAATCCTCCAACAACAGGCTTTCAACAAGCATCAATTAGGCCAGAAGTTACAAAACAATGGGTATCCCTGGGGATAAAACCCATCATGATATACCTGCTTCTCCCTCCAGGTGACTGCTAGAAAATGGGCCAGGACTCCATGGTTGTCTGTATAATTTTATGGATTAGGCTTTGCAAAATTTCTTAGTATTTCAGGAGCAATTTTTTTCTTTCAAAAAGGAGATTCCTGGAGATCCTTTCAAGCAGTGATAAAGGTATTGGAAAATCTTTCAAAAATAAAAACTTTTCTGCAACCCTGAACATCAACCAGAAAAAAGAATAATATTTTTTGAGACACTTTGAGGAGAAAGAAAGAGGAAACTTACCACAACAGTTAAGAATTAAAGTCAAAGAAAGTCTGTGCTTTTTATTATAGATTGAATACAGGTACAAGACTGTACAAAATAAA